TGGGTCAATAGGGGCGGGGTTACCATTTGTTTATTTATTTACTTATGTATGTATTTATCAACTATTTATTTAATTTACGTACTTATTTATTTATATTTAGGTATTTATCATTTTATCATGTACTCACTATTTTTTGTTTCTATTTGTATATTTGCAGTTACTTGCAAAAAGACCAGCTTCATACTTCACGCTTACAGCCAGAGACTCTTCCGAAACTCCTGCCTGCAGCCGGCAGCCAGCAAGGCCTCTCTCTGAGAGTCGTTGCACTCCTGGCAAGCACTGCTTGCCTGCCCACCCCAGCTCAACCACTAGACGCTGGACTAGAAAGATGAAGGCAGCTCGCAGGGAAGTGAAGGAAGTGGGTTCGGAGGGACACGGACTGATCATGACGTGAACGGTCGCCAGACAGAAAATGGACAAAAGGGGCATAGAGCTGTGATGTCCGTGAGGCTCCATGGTGCAGCTCCTGCTTGACCCTCAAGACCCCCCCCCGGAAACTCCACAAGCCACCCCCTTTCTTGAGAGGAAAGAACGGTGCCCTTTTTGTGCCTTGACCAGAGGGGAGTGGTGGGAGATGCCAGCGCCCTGGAACTCCACGGCGGCAAGGCCCGCCTCGCGGCCCATGAGCCCGTTGTCGGCTGCCAGGAGCAAGTCCTCCCCAAACCCAGGGTTCAGGGCACTTGGGGGGAGTGTAGGGTTTAGGAGTTTAGGCGGTTTAGGGGTTTAGGAGTGTAAGGTTTAGGACAGTTTAGGCGGTTTAGGGCTTTAGGGTAACCCAAGGTTGGAAAGCTCGGAAGAGGGGAGCCGCGCGGACGCACCCCCCCCCCTCCGTGTCTGCCTGTGTTGTACATGGCATGCGTGCCTGGTATGAGGACTTCTGCACTTTCATGCATGCGTGCCTGCGTGCCTGCATACATACACTCCTACACATACCTGCAGAGTAGATGGACAACTACTCGAGCCTTAGATGGAGGAGAGAGCGCTTCTTAGGGTCGAGGTCTTCGGATCATCTCTTCAGGTCATCGCAACTTGCCCTCTTCTTTGAAGCATCCCTCTGTTCGTCTCAGACGTCTCCTTCAGCCAGGCAGGGGAGTTGGACTCCTTGCTCTTGCCCTTCTTCCCTTTCTTGCCACCCTCCGCTGGGGGATCAGGCTTCTTCTCTCCTGTGGAGCCACCAAGAGTTACCTTGGAAGGTCATTTTTTTTTGGAGCATCTTTTTTGAGCACCTTTTTGCAAGGTCAATTTAGGGTCTAGGGTTTAGGGCTTAGGGCTCAAGAGACTGCAAAAATCGAAAAATCTCTCTTCCTTGCAGGGCCCCGGGCTCCTGTTCCGAAAGGCCGAGCCACCAGGGCGCTCAGCTGGCGGCCCAGAGTGACATGGTTGGCCACGCGATCGACGCGGCAGGTCTTCTTGTTGAACTTTTCACCTTTGGGGAGAAAGCAGAAGGGAGAAACTTACTGCTGCAAGGGAACATAGGCTTAGAAGACTTAGAAGTCTGTCTTCTGAAAAAGCGGGTTGGAGTCGGCCTGCGTTCTTCCCTAGCTCACCCACCATCCTCACCAGAATGCCTTGCCCAGGGGGCGGCGTGATGTTCACGACCTCGGCTTCGACGCTCACGTCGCCCCGGGTGGTGACGCTGATGCCAGGTGTCCCCGTCGGCGGGAAGGTGCACAGCAACCAATCGCCGCGCTGAAAGCCGTGACCGGCCGGAAGCAACCCAGCACAAGGGCTCAGCATGACATGCGAAGGGCTCTTCTCCGACGGGGCTGCCTGAATCCCATGCGCACACAACACATGGCAGGAAAAAATCGACGGAATCAAAAACTCATGATGATGGCATGGACGATGACGCTGGGCGCCTCCATCATGGGGATGCAGACACCGAGTCTTTCGAGGATGTGCGCCGGAGTCGCTGTGGCCTCAGGGCCCAGCCGAGACTCTACTCAGCCTTTTGTAACTCATTCCGGTTTTTGTATTTTTGTGAGTAGTTTAACAGTACCCTAGAAAGTAGATCCCTTAAGACGGGGTTCCCAAAAAAAGACCTTTTTGGTACCATAGGGTCCCAAACTAGGGGGCTCTACTTTCTACCTCGAGTGTTGTCAAGGAGAGGGTCACTTGCTGGCTTTTCGAAGGCTTTCTGGGAGCCCGGCAGGGCTTTCCCCCCCCCCCCCCCCC